GCTGCTCGCGTGTCCGCGCTCCCCGCGTGGGTCTTCTCCCCCCCGGCTCCTTTTCTTTATTAAACTCTTAATTTCTTCCTTTGTGCCACCGCCGGGAAGTTTGAGAGGCGGCGAGGGATGAGGTGTCGGGTCGCTGCGAGGCCGGGCAGGGTCTTCTCTTTTAATATTTGGAAGGCGGAGGGTGGGGGGGGAAGAAGGCGAAGCTGGAAATTGTGTGTTTTGGGGGAGCGTGGCTGCTTGGGTTTATTTCGCGTGGTTATTGTCAGAAAAGTCGAGGTTTCTTGCTCGCTGAGCGTGGAGCCAGCGATGCGGTCGCACCTTAATTCTGGAGGGAAAAAAAAAAAAAAAAAGAAAAGAAAAAAAACCAAAAAAAAACAAAAACAAAGAGGGGGACGGGGACGAAGGGGAAATAAAGGAAAAGGAGGGAAAGTCCAGCCGGTGGAACTGGTTGACAACGTTGCTTTTTAGGATATTCTTGTTCCTGAGCGTTTCACGTCCTCTTTGAACCCAGCATTGTGCTACGTGGGTTTTCCTTTCCATTTGCTAACCTGCAAGGAATATTGGGGAGCAAAAGCACTCTGAAATTGGTAAAAACGTTGTGAAAGAGCTGTGCTTTGTTAAGCATTACTTTCTTTTTCTTATTTTTTTTTTCTTCTTTTCTCTCTCTCTCTTTTTTTTTTTTTTCCAAGGCAGTTTAGGAATTTCATATGCTTGTCTGCAACTCATTGGAAATTATGCGCCATATTGAAAGTGACATATAATTATAATAATTACGGGCAATGAAAAGCGTGGCAATAATAGTAAATGTCCTACAGCTGTGAAGCTTCTGCATGAATTGATTTTAAAAGTGACTGACATTAAACCAGCTTGTGGCACGGGGGAACGCATTCATACATAGGTATTTCTGGAGGGCGGTGGGGAAAGGGGATGGGGGGCAGGAGATTCTGTTACACCGCGTTTTCCCCCTGCCAAGCTGCAGAAAACGGTATCCGAAACAGGCTGGGCTCGTGCTTCCAGTCCTAAATCCCCACCAGAGAAAAAAAAAAAAAAAAAAAAAAAAATTCCCCAAACCCAGGAAAAAGTTTGCCATGCACGAGATTCCTCTTGGGTACGGAGCAGAAATGTCCCCCACCCCATCCCAGCAGAGTCAGCCCCTCCACAGGAGCCATCGAAAACGCTTGCAAGTGAAAATAATATAAAAAATAAATCTATTCTTTTTTAAGAGCTCATTAGACTTAGTTTAGATTTTTTAATCCCCCCCCCCCCCCCCCCCCCGCAATGGGGGCTGTATTCCTGGAGCTGAGAAGCTACTCGTTTCGCAGGGCAAATTCCCTTGAAATCTGGACTTTTTTGCCATACACTTCACTTTGATTTGGGTATATGAAGGAAGGGACCAGATGTTTGAAAGATGCTAGGCAAATGTTAGGTATCTTTGGTAGATAAATGAGAGCATATTTTTGCCCGTTTCCTTGATTTATTATGTATATGGAGAGCGTTTCGTCATAACTCTTTGTACTGTAACAATAAAAAAAGAGCGATACTAAAGCAGAATGTCAGCGAGGAAATACTGTTGGTGAAAGGTCTTCCATTTAAGATTAGACAAAAAGGGGGAAAACCAGATTTATCTCTCCACTGTAACTTCCGTGTGCTTGGAGTGGCTTGTCCTTGCAGATTAGGAGACAGGGTCCTACAGAGAGGGGGGGGCTCTCCCCCAGCTCCCTGCTCCTTGGGAATGGCAAGTTCCCCTGGAAAAGGGAAAGACAATCACACTAATGACAGGGCGGTGTGCGTGGGATCGAAGACTTTGTTTTTATTAGAGAATTCCATGTTCATACCTAAGACAAACTCCAAACACAACACGTACAAAAATTAATAAAATAGAACTTTTCTTGTTGGTGCTGTTGCTTTTGCAATCCTTTTAGGTAGTACTCGTTCTTTCAGTAGATTTTCCTTTTTCTAAAAAAAAAAAAAAAACCAAAAAACAAAACCGAACCAAAACAACAAAACTAATTACAAAGACCCCAGGGCTTGATTAATTTACCAAAGGTGAAAAAAAAAAGAAAAATTAAAAAAAAAATCCAACCTATGTCAACCGTGCATGAAACATTTTTACAAAATTAAGACAATAAACACCCCAAATGACATATATTGCAGCACTTCCATTAAATACAAGAGTTAGCAGATTACTAACAGTGACACCAAGGGTAGAAACACGGGTAGGAGTCCTTTTTTTTTTTTTTTGTCTTTTCTCTTTCCCTTTCTTTTCCTCCTTCTCTCTCTATCTCTTTACTTTTTTATTATTATTATTTCATTTCGGGGGGTGGAGTGGGAGGGGAGGGAGGTCTAGGAAGGAAAGAAAAAATTAAAAAACGCAACTAGAAGCCTGATTTTTTTTAGGTTTTTTTGTGTGGGTTTTTTTTTTTCCCCTGGACACGCCATCACTGGGAACACGAGTCCATGGCATTGGTGGCCCAAACTTTCTGGCTGTTGCCACTGCTGCAGAGGGCTTGTCCCACCAACGTGCAGGTTCTCCCTGTCCTCGCAGCCAGCCCACACCCCCCTCACCCTCTCGGCTCTCACACACACTCACTCACTCCCTCTCTATTTCTTTTTTTTTTTTTTCTTTTTTTTTTTTACTTTTTTTTGCGTGTGTTTTAAATAATACTTTCACTCCGCCGTTTTCTCCTCCTCCTCCTCCGCGCTCAGCTGCGAGGAGTTGAGCAATTTATTCTCTTTTTTCCACTTCATCCTGCGGTTCTGGAACCAAATTTTGATCTGCCGCTCCGTCAGGCAGAGGGAATGGGCGATCTCGATCCGCCGGCGCCGGGTCAGGTAGCGGTTGAAGTGAAATTCCTTCTCCAGCTCCAGGGTCTGGTAGCGGGTGTAGGTCTGGCGGCCTCGGCGGCCGCTGGGCCCGAAGGAGGAACCTGTGATAAAAAAAAAAAAAAAAAAAAAAAAAAGAAGGAAAAAAATAGGAACGAGGTAGGAACAAAATTGGGGGGGTCAATGGGGAAGTTAAAAAAAAAAAAAAAAAAAGGAATAGGAAGGAAAGGAAAATGAGGGGAAAGCCCTGAGGTTGAGTGGATCCGCGGAGATGCTGGCTAATCCGCGGGGATGCTACGCCCCGCACCGCGGCTGTGTGCGGAGGGGTGTGTGCCCGCTCCCCTGCCCTCCAAAAGCTTTGGCCAACCCCAACATAAGCCCCGGCGGCTCTGAGGCCCCTCCGTGCGCGCAGGGAGGCTCCGCACCCGCGGAGGCTCCGCAGCCGCGCTGTAGGCAGCAGGGCAGAAGGGTTAATGCTGGAGCTGCCAGGCTGCAGGCAGGGCTGGGGAGACAGGGCAAGATCTATCTTATTCCGGGATGAAAAATCGCAAGGTGTTCTCAGCCCCCCCCGCCCGCCCCCGCTATTTTCCACCCTACCGGCAACTGTAATAGATCTGAGCATTTAAGCAATAATGAAGTGAATCGATCTGCCCAAACTCTACATTAAAGAGGACACAACACTTTATGTCCCTGCGCTAATGGACATCAATTTGGAACTTAAAAGGCAACAAATGCATCTAAACATGGGAAGGAGGGTGGTGAGCCTCTGTTATTTTCCTCCCCCCCCTCTTATTTTTTATTTTTTTTTTTTCTGATTGAGGAAACAGCACTTAAAGAAGTCATATATCACCAGGGGGAAAAAAAAATCTCCCCTGGCAGACTTTTCATTACGTGCGAGTTTCATTAAAAATGCAGCCCTCTCCTTTCAAGTATTTAAAGACTTTTATATTATTTAACTCCAGGTCGGGCAGCCAGCGAGAGAGGGAGCTGCGTGGGGGTGTGGGTCCGTGCGTGTGTAAAGTCATCCCGCTCTGATTTAGAAAAGATATCTCCCTGTGCGTGTGGGGGAAAGACAGAGACAAATCGGTGTAGCTGAGTGACACGCAAACTGGAATGTGAAAAAAAAAA